GTGTGTGTGTGTGTGTGTGTGTGTGTGTGTGTGTGTGTGTGTGTGTGAGAGAGAGAGAGAGAGTGAGAGGGCGTGTTTGTGTGTGTGGGAATTAACTATAATGGAACATGAAGGAGGTTTTCGGTTTCCTCATATGACAAAGTCAATAGCCTTTTAGTGACCACGTTCTTACATTCAAACTTGTTTAGAGGATAATTATGCAAATCACCATTACACCCGTTATATAAGAAGGGCCCGAGGAAGCCGAAGAAGTGATGGGCAAAGCATGTAGACCACGCCGAATAATGGCACACACGATCACGGCGTCGAAAATTAACTATCCGAGATCGATCGTAAGATGTCTGCGAATGTACCCTCAGGATGGTGTACAGAACAAATAGTTGGATAGAACTTGCCAATCTCGGAAAAGTTCTCAAGTTGGAAAAAGGAATGGTCGGAATGACGCCACTTTCAAAACCGCTCGTTGAGCCACTTCCAGTTTCATAAGAGTCGTTTTTGCTACACCACCCCAGGATGAAATGCAGTAAAGAAGAATGGTTTGACACGTAGCAAAGTATACCATCCTAAGAACATCAAAATCGGCTATATGACGTAAAGTTTTGAAAACTACTATTAACTTCCGAACACGGTTAGAGAGAGAATTAATATGATTTTTTAAATTAATATGTTGGTCAATATTTATACCCAAATATTTGAACACTTGGACGGATCGCAGAGCGGGGCACCGGCATCCACCACCATTACAAATATCAGGAGAGTTATGAGCAATGAGTGTGTGGCCAATAGTAGGCAGAGAATTAGAGCGCATTTCGAATACCATATATTTGGTTTTTTGTGCGTTTAAAGTTAAAAGACTACACTTTAACCAACCTAGGATAAAGTTGAGCCATATTTGAGCACATTGAAAAACTTCCTGCCAAGAGTCTGCTTGGAACGAAAGTGTTGTGTTGTCAGCAAAGGATATCACCATCCCATTTGGTACCTTAGTTTGGCACAAATCATTTATAAACACCAGAAACAGAGATGGCCGTAGGATACTCCCTTGGGGCAATCCATACGATATTGAGAGTTCGTCACTGGTGAAGTTTCCAATTTTAACTTGTTGTGTACGATTGGCAAGATATGATACTGTAGATATATTATCTAGTTTATAAATGCTTTTTTCTTTAAGTATTCATAATCCTTCACCAGTTTTAAGGACGATTTTATATAAGACATTGCTTGAGCTATGTTATTGTGTCATAATGTAAACCAAATTCTTATAGCATTATAACGTAGATATGCATTTGAAAAATCTAACTTCTATCAGAAGTGCTCTAATTGTTTCAACTGTTGGCGCCCGTTTTTCCAATAATCTTCGTAAAAATTATCACATCATAAAGTGAATCTTCGGAATAGTTCGGACTTGCAAGTAATAGGCATCCCTTATCGAAAGCGTCACGCTTAAGATGAAGAATATAGTGTATTTATTTTAATTTTGGATCTCAAAAAGTATTTTCATTTCCAATAAATAGCCATCTCGAAAGCCTAAGAACTCGATAATAAACACATAACAACAGAATATCTATATAATAATCTTACTTACAGCGGCAACTGCAGGGTTTGCCATAAGTTCCGTCTTAGAGACAACTGCGAAGTAGGCCAAGTTGGCCATTACGTAGATAATCGTCACCATGGGCATAGCAATCCATATTGCGCGCGGCAAATTTCTGAAATTATCACGCACAAGGAATTAGTGATTACGTAATAACGGCACATATTTTTAACAAATTACTTCGGATAAAGGAGGGTAATAGATATTAAGTATATGGAGTATCACAATTGCAACTCGTATTAAAAGTATTTTATGGCTTTCCTAGAATCCTTTATATTACTAAAGTACTTACTATTCGAGATACTAAAGTAGAAAAACACAATTATTTTATATTTGTATGCTATTTTCATGTATAACTAAATTTAATAATTAAATAAGTAAATATTTTTATATATGAAAATAGCATCCAAATATAAAATAATTATGTACTTTAATATCATTTGAGATAATATTGTAGAAAAAAACTAGAATATGAAGTACACCACTATTGCGCTGATAGCCTCGATTATTAAATTATAAGACTGTTAGAAGGCTTAAAAGTCATTTTTATGTTTTTATGTCCAAAATATGTCTCTTAATTTTCAGCGCTCTCAATCTCCAACATTCCAAGGTAAAATTACGTGTTTGCTCACTATCCGAAATAACCAACCAATTCCATTAAAAAAAATATTGATACGAATAACGAAAGGTAAAAAAGAATGCGAGTTTCGCAGCATATTGAAATTTGCCATCTCTCTACCGTTATAAAAGATTGTACCCATCTTAAAACAATTGCGTCAATAAGTTGACAAATGAAAAAAAGTAGACCTACATCTCAATATTCGAAAACTTTGAAGTTATTGCTTTTTTCCCCTGTGTGTTTTTCAGTTAGTCTTACTTGTCTAAAAAGGGATAACTATATTTCATTATCACATCAGATAGTCTTGTTATCGAGTTGATAGATAATGGTCACGTTGTTAATATTAAATCTGTCTAGACAAATGAATAAGATAATTATAGATAATGATTACCCTACATAGTTAACTATCTTAGTGACAGTTTTATTTTCACTAAACAGTGTCTAAAAAGGTCTATTACCCTGTTAGCTTATTGCCTTAAAAATAGAGCAGTCGTAACATTAATTTTAATGCGTATCACGATGTTTTAGTACCATCATGTTTAATTATTTTTTTTGTGTAATTACTCCACTAGTTTGTTATAATTATCAATACAAAGATAAATTCCAAACACTAAAAAAAATTACTTCGATCCACCAGGGTTCAAACCAACTGTGCTTGTTACAGATCTTTGTTTTTTTCTTTTTAACGACGAAGGAGACACACATAGACAACCACAATTTACAAATTACGATACAGTACAAAATTTGTAGTCGTTATAGGTATTTAGTTTTTTGCTTTTGTCGATTTTGTCTTATTTTATGTTTTTTTTTGTTTATTAATTCATTTTATTTTATTTAGCTTGTCTAAGTGTTATCATTTTTTTTTCTATGTAATATTAATAATAATTTAATAATAACTCATTTATTTTTCTCCCAACAAGTACACGACGTACTATTCAAATGACACCCAAACTCACGAGAGAAATAAATGAAGGCCATTCAAATATTTGCCTGCCCTTCCCTGTTCCCTGTTCCCTGCCTGGGAATCGAACTCGGGACCTCTGTGTGGCAGTCCAGTATGGTAACCGTTCGGCCACGGAGGCAGTTGATTTTAATTTCAGTAGCATATTATAATCTACATGAATATTTTTCATGAATGAGTCAGAAGCTCTTAAATTTCACAGTTGCAAAGGGTCTAAATAAAACTGGAAGATCTAGGATGCAGCGCATGGAAATCACGCGTAAATGTACGTTGGCTCCTGTCCAGAAGCAGTTAAATCAATTAATACACCATTTAATGGCGCTCAACATCATTTCTCTGACATAATGAAATCCCTTTCCTTGCAGCGGTACTAGTTGCGATAGCCTCACATGAATAATACATGCAATAGATAAAGTGCTGTATGGGGCTCTGGAATAAACTCTTTTCTCCGCATTCTCTAGACTTATAGTCCACATATTAACTTGCAAATAACACTATAATAGTATAAGAAATGAAACTATTTTTCCGGATTTAAATTGGTTTGTTTGAAAAAACAAATATACGCGATTTAAATCCGGAAAAATAGTTTCCTTTCCTATGTGTAACAATCGTGAAAACCTAAAAACTCGATATAAGTATAAGGTTCGAACTTAAATACATCTTGACCTCAGAGAAGCAATCACCGGCTGTCACCTTACCTACATATCCAAACTAATATTGAAAATACGAAAGTAAGACTGTCTATCCGTTACAGTTTCACGCCTAAGCCGCTGAACAAAATTTGATAAATTTTGGTATAAAGATTTGATCTTGATCTTGATGGGACTTAGAAAAAGGACATAGGTACTTTTTGTCACAAAAATAAATCTTGAAGAGTTTGAAATAGGGGATAAAATTACGTTTGTATGGGCAACTAATCATTTTTTAAGTAAGTAGTAATTAATTATTCTACGCAGACAAGGTTGCAGGAACCAGCTAGTATGCTATAATGGTTCTATGTCAGTGTTATTTTTATGTCATTTTATAATGTATGTATCATGTATCTATTTTGTACCACATTTTATGTTCCCATGAAAGTTCGGCCATTACAACCAGAAGGAATAGAAAGGTTGAAGTTTTTATTTTATTATGTCTGTTTATGAAAGGACATAACGGACGTAAAAAGCCTCTAAGAGAAAAATCTTTTCTATTCGCTTAACGGAAGTATAAACCCTAGAGCAAATAAAACGGACGAAACCTGAAGTGTTTGACACACACTCGTGGGAAGCACTTTAGAAAGATTAAACAGACGATTCACTGTGCAATGCTTAGTCCATTATAATACCAAACTAGAGTTGCCATTCCGAAATATTAGGGGTTAAAGTATGAAATTGCCGTTTTATTGCAATAGGTTCTTTGAATTTTCATAGAATCTTCATGGTTTGAGGTTTTCGAATGAAACTTTTTTCAAATGGTTTCTGTGATTTTTTTTTTTTT